CCTTTGAAGGTTAAACTGATTCTTGGTGAGAGGAAAGGAAACAGGATATATAATCTTTTAAGTTTGTGGAACAGAGGCAAATCATGTAACTGGTATATCTCAATAATCTTTAAGCAATGGTTCAACCCATCTCAAGAAAACCTTCATCTTTAGCATAAACTCTCACATTAGAGAAGCCCTCCAGGTATCATCAAATAGGCATGTGGACTGCTAATTCCATCTCAAATGATGCTTACCTTTGTCTGGGCATGCTGTGCATAAAAACCTACTAAATTATTAAATTGTAAATATTATTTTTCTGTAAGAGAATATAAGCCTTTTAAAGATAAGCAAACATAGGTTCTGATACTATTCAGAAGAGATAAAAAGTTTTCAATCTTCCAAAAGAAGGAGTAAACTACAGAGTTATGGCCAGAATGGTTTATCTTTTAGGATTGCTGTCACTGTTTATAAATCATTCTATAGTTGATGAAAGTTGTCTTATTTTCTTATTCATGATTTAATTTTATCACCACCATAATCTTGTATAGAAGGCAAAATAAGTATTACTAACTATTCTGTCTTAGAGATGAATAAAATACTAATATATCTAATTTTAATGCTAAATCCTAAAGCACCGTTATTGTAAGTCTCATTGGGGAACCACGTAGAGTCATAATTGTTTTTCCAGTATCATTTTACTGATTTATCTTTAAGCTTTCTCACTTTCTGATGGAATAGAAATTGTCTACTGATAAGTTTTTATTAATTTTAAGAAAGTACATATATCATTCTTGAAAAGAACATTAAGTCTTTTGTTTCCCACGCTGAATACTTCTTTCTAATACACATTGAATCGATTACCAATATGGTGTTTTGGAAAAGTTTACCACTCCAATTTCATCACAAGTCTGTATAGACCACATTACTTACAAAACTTAAAATAGAGTTTAAAATTTGTTTGACTTATTTCAGAACCGCTGGACTTCATGTCTCTGATAAGATTGATGAGAACTAATAATATAACTAGGGCTTTCATTATAAGTCCATCTTTAGGGGAAAGTCACGGGATAGAATATCTCCAATTTCTCTAATTACATTAGTAAAGTTTGGCAGGGGTATATCCCTTAAGGTACAAAAAGATTTCGGTTGGCTGTTTTTAATCATTTTCTGATTATAGTATTAGTAAGATAGGTTCAGGAACCTTTTGAATATGCGTTTCCGACCTAAACATTTCCTAATATAAATTTCATATTGATTTGGCCTTTTATAAATTGGACTTCCTTTAATTGTTTCAAATTAACTATTACATCACCCTAAACTCCCAATTCACCCTTTAAAAATTGAAGGAGGACCAAATAGAACCAATAATGTATGCCAGTGACCTTTAAGATGGAGGCTCTTCTGTGAAGCCCTTTACACATATTGTTTCATTTAATACTTGTGAGAATCTTCTGAGGTAGATATTGTTGTCCCCATTTTACAGAGGAGAAAATTGAGATTTAGAGACATTAAGTAACTTGTCCAGGGTCATCTAGGCAACGTATGGTCAAGAAGCATTTTAACCAATGTCTGACTCCAAGTTCCTTTTCTATATGCTACTGATACAGGAGTTAAGAATAAATTATTTAGGCAGATAGCAAGGGTAAGGAAGTCCTTGGTAAGGCTTTCCTTTTAATGAAAAGCAGCCCCAAAGTCATTTTCTTTTCTAACAAAGAGCAGCCTGTAAAATTGAGCTGCAGACATACACAAGTGAGCTGGAAGCTTGAACGTGTGAATGTTGGCAGTTGTGCCAATGGGAAAAGGCTACCTGGGAGTAGGCATGTTCAAAATGGCAGTTCCATCTTCCCTTTTCCTTTCCAACCACATGTGCAGTAGGGAGCAGACAACAGGGAAACCGCCAGGCAAAGATTCCATTTGCATAGTGGGACTGGGCGGGGGCAACCAGCTTCCTCACAGGCTATGCAAATGTCATACCTGGTCCAACCAATCTGTGGGCCCTATGTAAATCAGAAACCGGCTCCTCAAGCCCATCTATAAAATCCGGTGCACTCTGCCACAAGGCACAAGTCCCATTTGGGTGCACCTCTCTCTCACAAGAAAGAGAGCTGTTCTCCTTTCTCTTTCTTTTGCCTAGTAAACCTCTCCACTCCTAAACTCACTCCTTGTGTGTGTCCATGTCCTTAATTTACTTGACATGAGATGATGAACCTCGGGTATTACCCCAGACAATGACGCCACTTCACTACAGTGGAGGCTATTCTAAGGAATATTTTTTTTAATGTTTGGAGACCATTTAATTTTGGGATGGCACAAAAGACTACTGCCTCCAGAAAACTCTGCCCCTGGGAACTCCATTACTCAGAGGTGGAAATTAATCCATATAGTCACATGAGCCTTCTCCCTCATTCTCTTCTGCTTACTCGCATTTCTAAAGGCACAAGAGAGAGAAATTCTGGTTCACTAAAAGATATTAGAAATCTGACTTGATTTTTATGGAAACATAAAGTTAGGCAAAGATGCTGACTTCCATTGTTTTCAGGTGAATCAGATACACATACGACACACTTTTATTTTAAATTAAATGAAGTCATTTATAGCCATAGTGCAAAGTGACAGTCTGCATTATGAAACGGTAATTCTACTAGCAAATTCTCTGCAATGAGTTTCATTGGGCTGAACTTTTACAGGAGACAGGTTTATGGGAGATTGTCTTTTATAGAGATTCCATAGATCCACCCACGGAACCAAGAGATGTACTTTCAAGACCTATGTTTAAATTTCATATTGTAGGGACAACAAATGTATTATTCTAAGTGGCTTGACTCCAGAGGAATATCAACTACTTCACAGGTAGAATACAAATATCATTCTCACTTTAAATCTGAGTAAATAGTCTTAAACACTTTCTAAATCCTATTATATGTACAAACTTTGCATGCAAAGGTTGAGTCAAGTCGACAGAGGAGTATAAGTAAACACAGCCTTCTCCCATAAGTACACAGTATTGAATGAAGGAGAAAAGGGCTTTATACTCTATTCCCTCAATCCCTCAATCAAAGACCTTTTAGAAGAAAAGGCAGAGTTAAAATAATAAGCCCAGTTCTATGATAAGGAACTTCCGTATTTGAATTTCATTGAATTATAGAGTTGGAAAGAGCCTCCCGGGGATCCGTGTAACAAGAGACCTCACCCCAGACCACCAGACCACCTTCTAACCCGTGGCCTTTTGTGTGAATTTAGTCTCTTCAGTGTTAAAATACTGGAAACTCAGGGTTTCTCTGCCATTCTCTCCTGCAGTGCATTTGAAATCTGAAGATAACCTATTTTGCTCCCCATTTTTAAAAACTGCATTTAAAACCTTGACTAATTGCCAGTGACCTTTAAGGTGGAAACAGCAAGGTGGAACAGAAAGAGTAGACTCAGCAGTTTGATTTCTTAGTCTCATTTTCCTCATCTACAAAATAAGAATCAGTACAGGGTTTTCATGAGAATCAGAAATGATCAAAGTCTTGGCATAGTTCCTGGTGCATGGCTGTGCTCAGTAAGTGGTAGTTATTATGATTATTACAGTTATCCTTAAGCAAACAGTTCTTATAAAGCATCCCCTTAAAAGAACCCTTAAAATAATTATAGACATGTAGCTTCTTCATCTCCTAGCAATCTTAAACTGTCTTAGAAAAGTGCTCTGCTATTGGCATATGTTTGTATATTTGGGTTAAAAAGTAAAACCTCATTCCACTTTTTTACTTAAACATTGGCTTACTGCAATTTAATATCAAATAACAGCTGCCATTCTGTGAAAAACACTCTGCACAGTGGGGCTATGGGGGCACATGGTCAGCCAAGCACCATTCCATAAAGGGACTAAGTGGCAGAACAGACTCTATGTGAGATGACAACTGGACTTCCGGTACTTTTCCAAGAAAGGGAGTTTCTTGACCCAAAAAAGACAGGCACTTTATCTTAACTGATTTTAATGCATAAAGAACCTGACCAACAGTTCACACATTCCTTTTGGAGAGAAAAGTCAGGATGAGGAGATTTAAAAAAAGCTTCCCCTACAATTCCAGGAAGAAATTACTCTTCTAGGCCACCAGGATGGTGGTGGTAATTGAGCAAATGCATGCAAACCTTGATGCAACTGCTAACTTTTACCAAAGAAGCAACTGATTTTCTACTGACTGACTTCCTCCACCTTGGCTTTAAAGTCAGCCATTTGGCATCTATTGCCGTCATATTTCCCATGGGTCTTAGGTTCTACCATTTGTTCTTACAAACATCCTAAAAGAAACTATAGGCCAGGCACAGTGGCTCATGCCTGTAACCCCAGCACTTTGGGAGGCTGAGGCAGGTGGATCACAAGGTCAGGAGTTCAAGACCAGCCTGGCCAAGATGGTGAAACCCCGTTTCTACTAAAAATACAAAAATTAGCCAGGTGTGGTTGTGGGCACCTGTAATCCCAGCTACTTGGGAGGCTGAGGCAGAGAATTGCTTGAACCCGGGAGGCACAGGTTGCAGTGAGCCGAGATCACGCCACTGCACTCCAGCCTGGGTGGCAGAGCAAGGCTCTGTCTCAAAAAAAAAAAAGAAAAGAAAAGAGAAAACAGTAGTGGGTACAATATAGCTGGTGTTAGTGAATGATCCTTCTGTGTGCCATTGATTCCTGATGCCCTTTCTTCCAATTCTTCTGTGATTCTAGACTTACAAGCCATGAGCTTCAACATCAAGTCAAGTAACCTCTGGAAATGCTTGATAACCCAATAGGTCTAAAGGATCTACATTTGTCTTGTACAAAGCAAAGTTCCAATGCCTGAAAGGGCCCAATAACATAAAGGTATTTAGCAAGGTGTTAATGACTGTGGATAGAATAATTCAGATGTACCTCTGACTGATAAGAAATATTAAAGTCTTTTTTGAATAGGGCTGTTGTAATATTTAAATTTCAGCAAAATAATCATAAGCCTTGATATGACTTAACTACAATTCACTAGAAAATCATGAGAAATGAGCTTCCTTACATTACTTTGGTGTTTATTGACCTCCATGGCATGTTTAACCTCAGGGGGCTCCTTCATGTGGGCATAATCTGAGAATCCTTTGGCAGCATCATGTTTCTGCTTGTAGGCCACCTGAAAAACACAAATAATTGTTAGTCCCATTTAGAGGTGTATAAATTCTTGCCTGCTAAATTTCAGTGTTTTGCTAGGACTTAATATATTTGAATACCACCACTGATAGTTAATTTGCCTAAATCTCTGTAACAAGACAGTATCCACAATGCATTCATCTTTGTGCTTCTGTTCAGATTCCTAATTCTAACTCTTTGTTGTCTATTTCAAAATGTCCTTGACCAAAGATGGAATTTCCATTTTTATTCTTCTAGCTTTAAACCTTGGGTGCAGTTTTGGGAAATCATCCACATCCAAGAGCTTTCTCGGGTATAGATGTCAAAGATTTAAATCTTGGTAAAACAACTAGAGGGGAATTATAGGATATTTGAAAGTAAACTGTTAGTTTTCAAATGATTGCGTCTGATTTTATGTAGGCACAGCTATAAGATAATATAAGCTTCATCAAATGCACAAACCTTTGGGAGAAAATATAGCATGCAGGCAAAATTCTCAGATATGTCAAGTCTTGGCCTCCACTAGGGAAATGGACCAATGCCATCCATAACCACTATGCTGAATTTCCTCCATACTAGGATGGAGAGGGGATATGAGAAAGGTATCTCAGAAGTAGATGTAACCAAACTCAACCACAAAGTTGGAAATTAAAGAGGAACCCAAAGACAGAAACCAAGTTATCCCCTTGGTCTCCATTGATATTATTAACCTATTTATTTCCTTCATAATGTTTAATTACTTTGTTTAGTTTATGTATAATTACTTATCCATCTTCCCTTACTAAACACAACTGTTATGTTCACTGAATCCTCAGAACCCAGAGGAGTGCCTGGCACAAAATACTGCTCAGTGAATGAATAAATAAATAAATGAATAGCTAAAAGAATGAGAATAAAACAATAACAAATGAAGGACAGAAAGGCAATATTAATTTTTAAATATATTAAAAGTTTAATACTAAAAGGATGTTAAATGGAGTTGGAATTACTTGACATGAGAAAAATGGCAACTTAAGAAAGAAAAAGTAGGTTGGGCTCAGTGGCTCATGCGTGTAATTAGAGAAGTCAAAGAGGGAGACTTGATCATGACAAAGTGAGGCCCCCATCTCTACAAAATATCAAAACGAAACCAGGTATGGTGGCACATGGCTGTTGTCCCAGCTACATGGGAGGCTGAGGCAGGAGGATTGCCTGATCCCAGCAAGTCGAGGCTGCAGTGAGTCATGGCATTCCAGCCTGAGTGATAGGGTAAGATCCTGTGACAGAAGAGAAGAGAAGAGAAGAGAAGAGAAGAGAAGAGAAGAGAAGAGAAGAGAAGAGAAGAGAAGAGAAG